GAGGGATGCTGCTTACTAGCTTTCTGAATTTGCTTTCTTATAGCACCCAGAACCACCAGCACAGAGATAGCACCACCCACCATGGGCTGGGTACTCCCCAATGATCACTAATTGAGAAATGCCTTACAGCTGGATCTCATGGACAAATTTCCTCCCCTCCCTCTCTGTCAAGTTGACTCACAAACCCAGCCAGTACAATACCCATGGATAAATGTCGTCTTCATCCCTTCATCAAGGGTAAATATTTCTCTTTGCAAAAGATGGAGACCACTACAGAAAACCACAACTAATCAAAATACATTACTGTGGAGCTCAGTTCCAATGGATATATCAACAAAACTATCCCATACCTAAGATTTGGAACATTTTAGAGGAGGAGGCAGAGAATCAGAGAATCTCATGTTAAAGCTTCACTAAGGTGATTGCCAAATGTAAGCTGAACAAGGATGACACCAAAGTAAATTCCAAAGTTGAAGCCCACTGTGCCTCAGCCCTACACAAAGAACTACAAGCAACCGAGGAAAGCTGGGAGCAGGAGAGGTTTTATTCTCCAGGGAAGAGGATGTCAATTGGTTGTCCAGTGCCAAACAGTCAACCCTGAAAACATACATACAAGTAACATTATAAAGACTGAACAGTTATATTTAGGAATATGGTGATACATATTATATATAATACATGTATGTATATATGCATATATAATATATGGATGTGTATACATATTCACACACACATACATATATACATGCAATATATCAAGGAGGCCGTGAATTTGAAAGAGAGCAAGAGGATATACCAGAGGGTTTAGAGAGAGGAAATGGAATGAAGAAAGGTTGGAATTATGTTATAATCTCAAGAGAAAAACCCTTTCTTCCTGATCATTTCCTTGGACTTTCATTCCTCATTTCCCACTCACTACATGATCACATGGCTACACACATTCTTCTTTGATTTAATTTCCTTGACATGACTTAGCTTTAGCAAAATGGATACTTCCTTACTTTATGGCCAGGACCTCAATTTTGCCTGCATAATAAAAAAGCACCCTGTGGACTATTAACATGTAGACAAGCCTTTCCCCCAAGCACAGCAATTAAGTTTTAATCTCTTGGGGGTGGACCTCCCCCATTTACTCTTCTAGAGGTGCCTAGAGGAGTAGATCCCAGTGAGCTGCTGCAGTTCAGGTTTGAGCCCCAAAGTCTGACAGAATAAACCTAGGCTTCTGTCCAGTCTCTTGTCTCCCACTGCTTCAATTTACACATGAAGTAAGCACAAGAAAGTCCCCCCAGTATGTTGTGAAGTGACAAATTGAAGCTCTGTAAGCAATGGAACATCTATGGCTGAAACAACCTTGTCCTTTCTACTAACTTCACAAATTGGATTTAAGAACATGAGTCATTGAGGACCCCTCAACCAGTGCAAACCATTGCTTTGCAGCCTCAGAAAAGAAGTAATTAGATTCATACCAATTTTGGGAACCATGTCCCTAGCTCATATGCCCTAGCATTTTCTCTGCATCATTTCCTCGGCTGCTTCCTCACAGCCTAATAAAGGTGGGTGCAGTGCCCTGTTATTCTTCTCCTGTGCCTTCCTTCCTTTCATGCTTGTCTAGCACCTAGGTAGGTTTAAGCATGGTAATCATAACATATTCTGAGAGAAATGCTGTCCATGTACGGATATCTGGTCTCACAATACTTGTCTTATTTAACCTTATCTCTGGGGTCTATGGTTATTTTCCTGTATTCTAAGGACTCTTGAACTCATCAGACCTCAAACTAAACTCTATTTTTTGATGTTCTCTGTAGTCTTGAGACTCTCAATTCTCTAATTACTTTCCCAGACCATTTTGCATGTCCAAGTATCGAATTGGCTGTAATGAGTTCCTGCTAAGAGTGACATGGTCACCACAAAGTCCGTGAGTCTAAACAAACTGACCACTTCATTCATTCCTCATTCCACATTCTCAGTTACTAGTACTACCTGACAATCTGGTAATCCAAACTAGGACTCTGTCCTTCATTTTCTTTCCCTTAATCATTGCATGTTTTCCTCTTTTATCTTTCTCTCCTACCTCTCTCTTCAGACAATTGTTATTATGTCCAAAGCAATTGGACAGAGCATACACTCATGTGCAGACAGACAGACAGACAGACACACACACACACACATGCACACACCCTGTCTGACTGCCTAGAGGTTTTGTCTCTATTGTGCTCCTACTCATTCATGATCTCCTCCTCCACTCTTAACTGTCACCACCCTATGAAAGGTGCTCAGGTCTCCAAAAGGTTGATGCTGCTTGCAGTACCTCTCAACTTTTCTTGTGACCCGTGCCTTTGCCCCTTTTGTTTGACTATCTCCTATCCATCACTTTTGACTCATTTCTGTCACATCTTCTTCCAGGGCACTGTGTCTGTCCTCTCCTCATTCCCAGGGTCTTTCTTGCTTTCAGAATATACTGTGCAGTTCTCTATTACCATGTTTACCACACTGTATCATAATTAACCCTCACCTCATTGTATAATGTGAGTCCCTTAAATTCACTGAGCATGTTCATGTCCTCAGTAGCTAGACAGAGCCTGGCACTCAATGAGACATTATTGAATTATAAACGAATTCCTCCACTGTACCCAGCATGCCTTGCCTCTGCTGTACTTATTACTTCCCATTGTATTTGCTGTGTCCTCCCTCTGTCTCTTCAATTAGGCTATTAAATCCAGAGAGCTGTCAAAGAGTATGTTTTATGTGTTTTTGGTTTTTGCACTGTTAACCTTGTGCCCTGCCTTCGAACAGATGCTCTGCCAGTGACAGCTAAAAGAAAGGAGGAAAAGAACAAGGAAGGAAGGCCAAGGTCCCATTTAATCATCCAGTTCAATTTAAACAATTTAAACATTAAAAACTCAAGTAAAGTCAGTGTGTTATCCTTCAGTTCCAACTCAAACAAATGAAACAATGACAGGGTCCTGAAGTTAAAAAAGAAAGTTCTACTGTCACATAATAGAACTTAAATAGGGTGGGCCAGGCAGTAGTGGCACACACCTTTAATCACAGTGTTAGGTAGGCAGTGACAGGAAGATCTCTGTGAGTTCAAGGCCAACCTCGTTTACAGATTGACTTCCAGGACAGCCAGGTTACATAGAGAAATGGGGGGGGGGGGCAGGGAAAGATAGGATGTAGGTTTATGTAACCATGCCAGAGCTGGGTCACTATAAGATTCTGGAAGGGATCTTCATTTCATTAACTAAAAATTGAAAGAAACAGTTCCTTTAAGTATGAGAATGGACACTTGCTAGACTGGCCTGTAGAAGAAAGGCTGACCTCCCTTGAGTAAATGTAACCTGAGACATTTGCCTTTTTAACTCAGACATGGTGACATGGAAAGAATAACCCTCTTTAGACAAAAACCTAAAAAAATAAATGATCTGAGACACAGCTAGCACTGTGAAAGATTCACAGTACTTCTGCACAGCATTGTGAATATTTAGAAAACCATTGTATTTTTCTCTGTATCATTACTTTTTACACACAAATAAATAAGTAATAATCTTAACTGTCTTTGACACAATTTCTTCATGGTGCCCTGGCTGTCCTGGAATTTGCTCTGTAGACCAGGCTAGCCTACAGAGAGCCTGCCTGCCTCTGCCTCTCTGGTGCTGGGATTAAAGGCGTGGGCCACCACTGCCCAGCAAGGTTCTGTTTTTGTTTGTTTGTTTTTTTATGTAACATGTTCCTTTTAGAAATAAAGCAAGCTTTCTAGTTCTTTGCCATCATTTGGAGGTGGGGAATCAGTGACTTGGTGGCCTTCTCTATAGGCTCTGATGGTGTGTCTCAGTAGGAGGGTGACTCATAATCTGACCTGGCAACTGGCAGCACCTATGCCAAGGAGTCAGGGTATGAGAGAGCCAAAACCCCTCTGGCTGGACACTCCAGCAAGTCTTAGCAGCTGTAAGGGAAAACAAGAACTCAAGCTGAGAGGAACTCATGAGCTCTGTTTGAAACAGGATGCTTTGAGTGAATGTTGGTTGCTGTATCTGAAAACCTGAGCTCTACCCACTTATGTCAGCATCACTTAGGAAGATTGTTAAAAACAACTTTTTGTGGCAGGAGGGGATGGTTCAGTCCCTAAAGTGCCTGCCTTGCAGCTAAGAAGTGCTAATTTGTGTTTGACCCTCATAACTCACATTAGAAAATAGCTTGATGGTATACACTAGTAATTCCAGCCCTGGAGAGAAAGAGACAAGATTCCTGGGGCCATCCAGGCAACCCGTCTAGGCTAATTGATGAGTTCCAGGCAGTGAGAGACCCTTTCTCAAAAGAGATAAATACTGTTACTGAGGATGACATCCAAGGCTCTCCTCTAATCTCCAGGTTCAGGTGCACACATGTTCATGCCAATGTGCATCTGCACACACATATTTTGACCACTGAGCTGCCTCTCCAGCCCCAGGTGCATACACATATTTTAAATATTGTTTCCCTTTTATGTGTATGTGTATGTGTGTATGTGTATGTCTGTGCATCACACATATACTGTGACTGTGGAGGCCAGAAGTAGGTGTCCGACTTCCTGATACTGAAATTGCAGATGGTTACAAACTCCTACGTAGGTGCGTAGGTGCTAGGATTGAACCCAGGTCCTCTGGATGGCACCCTGTGCTTTAACTGAACCACCTTTCCAGCTGTTTCACACACATACACACAGATACACATGCACACCTACACACAAAGGAAGAAAGGAAGCAATGAAGGAAGGAAGGAAAAAGAAACATATGCTTGTGTTTTACTCCAGAGCTGCAGTCTCAGAGACTCTAGTCTATAACTCTGCCTTTCTCCAGCTTCCCATAGTCCGAGGTCTTCTATTTTAAGCCCTATGTAAAATACCTGCAATTACTGCTTTTTCCTACTCACCCAAAGATCATATTCTTTTAGAGAGGGCCTAAGTCTACTGAAACTTAAGCAGTGCATTTAGAAACCTTTGTGTTTTGTTAATAAGATGTTACCTGTGACATTCACTACAGTGAACCCCCAAGTGTTCAGAAATAAGGATTGCCAGGAAAATACAGCTTACTGAATCCAGTCATCCATCCTTTAGAGTTTCCTTAGAAGACTCTAGAAGACAACCCCTCTGTGTTTATATTTTTTTAATGACATAATCCTCCTCAGGAAATATGTTAATCCTTAGGAGGACTCAGATGATTCTATGGATACAAAACAATATTATAATTTTAAATGGGATTAGAACAGTCTCAGAGAAAGCTTCAGTAAAAACAATGCAAAATACTTAAACTGGAAATTCTGATTTCACAGTCTAATAACTAGCATTGTCTCTAAACGCCAAGCATATTTTGTAACGTCTCAAATATAGAGGAGGCAAAGTTTGAGATGCAGAAAGAGAGACCAATTGAAACCATAGGAACTCAACAGTCTGGCACATGGAAATGTGAATTAAGAGTCAGATCTAATCAGTGATGTAAACAATGAACTTTAAGTCCTTGCCTACACAAGACTACAGGACCAAAAGGAGGTTATCTTCTGCTGAATTTCCCTACCCTAGTTATAAAGCACATTTTTCAGGACAGGCAGCTCCCTAGTCTTCCCAAAGTAGACCATGGCCTGATACCTTCTCTAAAATTGCCCCCAAGCTATATACAAGCTGACACCGATGCAAACTTCACAGGACTGCCAAGCATACTTTTAAAGAGATAGACCTATCACTGTTGTCCTGGGACACAGCCAACATCTACAGAGGAATGTGAATGTTACACAACCGGAAAGTCTTTGGTCTTGATATTCGAGCTGGCAGCCTTCTCCCTGTGGTTTGGTTTCTGGGATTTGCTGTGTTCTCTGTCACCCTCTAGCAACACAGAAAATGTGGGAGCCAGACTGCTTTACACCCACCATTCAGCTGTCTCCAGGACACCTGTTCATCAGATTCCTTGCTTTATACTCAAAAGATGCAAGTAAATTTAGTAGCAGAAGCAATATATATATATATATATATATATATATATATATATATATGTACATCTGTTGTATGAACAGCACATAAATTCTTACTAGAAACACGAACTATTCAAGTGACCTTACACTTAATATTTATATCACGGATCCCACCTTCCTTTTTTTTTTTTTAAAAAAAAATATGGCTTAAGTAATTATATGTACATATACTTTTGGACTTTTATCAAGTCAGAGGATGAAATTATGGCCAGACACTTTAGCAAAGAGATAAACCTCATTTACGATCGTAACCACAACAGTATTCACCACCATTAAGGCTTATGTAAGTCATCTGGCAAACAATGCTCCAAGAGGTACCCATCTTCTTCTAGTTATAATTAATTTACCTTCACAAGCAATCCCCTTGAATGTATTTTCTTCTAATCGTTTGTCAAAAAAAAAAAAAAAAAAAAAAAAAAAAAGTCTACCTTGGGTTCTTGGGTTCTCTTTTTCTCTCAAGCTTTGCACATTAAAGTGCTCACTCTCCGATGAAAATCTGTACTCCCTTTGATACTGGGACACACTATCCTTTGCAGCAGGAGCCTTCAGGCTAGCACCAACCCCTCAAGACTGATTTTGCCAGAAGAATGTCAGAATTCTCCGAGCGAGCTTGTTTTCACAAGTAGTTCAACTCTAGAATAAGTCTTCAAAATCTGCACTTGAAGTTTTAATCTGCTGTCACCTTCTGCCTGTAGGTTCAAAAACCAAGCCATGAAGCCAAGAGAGAGGCCACTTTTCATCTACACCAGCACTTGCACAGCTCTGTCAAGCAACATATTGCATACCATTGAAAATGTTCTTAGGGTCTCATTCTGGGAACTCCATAGCTTACAGGCTACTTTGTATGCGTATACATGTAAATCTAGTATGTGCTTAGCAGTATCCATATCATACTTATTTTTGTGTCACCAAAGAGGGGGAAATATAGATAACTCTTTACCACCATCAACATGAAGAAACACTAAGGAAAAGAGCTGTTAGGCTTCAGGACAGGGTGGGGAGTGAAGAGGAGGGGGCAAGAGGGAAGTAGGTAAAGCTTCTTGGCTTTTTATGTGTTGTTTAAATTTGGAATTATGCACTCGGAATTTTTTTATGTTCCCATAGGATGATATTACACCCTTTAGTAAGTGTTTGTCTTATGTTTAAAAGTAATTCTGGCACCACATGGTTCTTAGGTCTATGTGCCAAGGTCCTTTATGCCATATCCACGACCTCCAAAATAAACTGCTACTTCTAAAATAGACCACAGTTAGATGATTGCTATCACCCAAAAGGCTGAGTAGAATTTATTAAAACAAAGACCAACTATTAATCTTCTCTTCTTTTTCTAACATTTTCTTGGCCCCATTTCTTTCCCCCATTGATAAAACTGAAGCAAAGAAAAGAGAATTTCTTCCTCCATTTCACCATTCGTATCACCAGTCAATAAGAAAAAAGTCATTATTATTTAGTGAGCATTTACATAGAAGACTTGTAGCCCAGTTTCATAGTTGAGGGAGACCTTGGTTCAGGATAATTAAGTGACTTGCCCTGATTGCCCATCCAGCATGCAAGCCTAATACTGCCTGACTACAAAGGTCTCATTCTCACAGAGCCACTTTAGCTACTCTGGAGGCCTGACCCCACTTGAGAGAGTGTGATGCACTGACATGAGATGTTCAACCATCAAGCTGTGTGACTCAGGCAAGTGTCATGTGGATGAAAAACTGGTGAGAAGTTCCTCATTTCCTCTCCTGTTCTAACATCCACATGAATTGTGCCATGTTGCTGCCTGTAATGAAAAGTGTGCATTAGAAAAATGAACTAACTGCAAAATGTTTATCCAATGGAGAGATGGAAAAAACGCCAAGTCAGTTTCTTCCCAACCCTGAGGTTCTAGAATTTTTCCTATTTAGACATCAGAGTTTGGAGCTGTTTTATTTTCCTGAGACTAGATGATAAAGAGCCTAGCGGGGGTCACCTGTTAGAGGACAAATCTTATTGTCACTACTTTGTGACGAGTCACTTGAGTAATTGCAACTTTCTAGGAGCAGCTGTGGGATGCATTAGCTTTTATAATCATCTCCATCAATAAAACAGAAAAATAAAAGTGGTTAAATAGGGCATTAGCAATTTAAAGCATTTTACTAAGAGGTGTGTTATAAAAATGAAAAGTCAAATTTTAGAATAATAAAATATATTTCCAATACATTTATTTTATATTTTACAAACATTTCATATCTATAATGTGGAGAGAATGCTTAGATATCTGTGTGGGAAAATTATTTTTATAAATATTGCTTAAAAGAAGACATAAACATGACAGATGTGCTCACATAAATAAGGTCGGCAGTAGTGTTTATCAGAGGAATGAAAATGGAAGACACAGTGTGCTCACTAGAAGGTCTGAATTCAGAAGCATTGGTTATATTAAGGAACTAGAGACCTTGATGGTGTCTGTTAGGGGAAGTAAGACACAGTGAGAAGTATAGAAAACCCGCAGAATTAGCATCACATAACACGACCTTTATCCCGTGGCTTCATCATTGTGTTTGAGGGCATTCACCAAGAGAAATACTAACATGTCTATACAAAGAATTGAGAAAAAAAGAGATTATAGCAACTTTTTTTTTTTTACACATACAGCAATAGGATAATTGACAACAAAGGTTGTTTATTTACGTGGTAGAGTACTGTTTGGAAGTTAAGAGAAACAAAGCAAAACTTGTGCTGTAGATATGTGCAAGGATTTAAGCTAAGCAGACCCCCCAAAAATTTCATCGAATGAAAGTTGCCAAATACAAAAAAGACCAAGTTTGTATTCCATAATACATATGTATATAGAATTCTAGAAGGGGCAAATTATATTACAGTGACCAATAGCATAACAGTGGCAGACTAAGGACAGTGTTAACTGCAAAGTAATTTTATAGAAAATTGATACTATTTGGTCTTGACTGGAGCTGTGGTTACACTCAGATATGCATTCTTCAGCATTCACTGGGCTTATTTTATATGATCTATCCCACAGCAAAATTACCTTGCCAAAACATTCTCATTCAGATCAAGCTCTGTTTCAGAGCTTCTGAAAGGCACCTACTGAATGAAAATCCTTATGAATGAAAGAGGACTTGAAGTACATGATGTAGTATTTGCAATGCCTGGGGTGTGGTAGGTGATCAATAAACATTAGCTGCATCTTTTCCTTTCCAGTTCTTAACGCGTAAAGTATCAACAGTCCCTTTAAAGGCAGATGCGTATAAAATAAATATCAAGAAATCACTGCTAAAGAACAAGTTTGAGTCTGTAGTTAATCATCTAAGTACCATCAAAGGAGTCTGGCACAGTGTGTATGCTACTTTGTTTCTTCTCTTGTGACTTATTGGTATTTTCTACCAAAATCTGATATCGCTTTTTTACTGTATGATTTGGTATTTGGAATGCTAAATTTAAGAACATGTTTTCACTTTTCATCTTTGTCACAGATTTACAGAAAGCATAAACTGTAGCCAATACCTCTTTTGTAAAGGTATGGTATATGTATAGTCAAGTTCAATGAGACCTAAACGTATTGATAATTTTAATTATATTCAAAAATCTTTCCTATTCAATATTAGTCAAACAATCTAGATATAGTCGTATTGATTTAAAATAACAAGTTCGCTTTTCTAAAAAGATCAACAATGAATCTTCTTCTTAGTATGTTCATATGTCTAGAGCCATTCACTTATTCACTTATTGAGTCTGTAAGACTAGAGGGACCCACCTCTGGCTAAGGGCATCTGCCTAAGGATTAAGCATCTTTAAGCACTGTTAAGAATGTTAATTTAATGCTTCTTGTTGTTAGCACTCCTCCAGGAAGGGAACAAAATTGTCTGCTGTGTTCTTTTAAATGCTTGATTGACATCTGACAGGTATTTACCTGTGTCTGTCTGCCTTGAATGGTGAGCTGTCAAAGAAATAGCCCACTTTGGTGACTTGCTATGCTGTCCTCAGGGCATCCCGGGTGCTATGAAGACATCACAAAGCCATCAAGGAAACTGTGCTCCAACTGCAAGGAACACAGTAAGGGCAAATGCTATTGAAGCCACAGACTTTTGCTTCAGGAGGCTTGCTCCAATCAAAACTACTGCAGCCTGTGTCAACACTGGAAAACATCACTTAAGTCATGATCTCTATGTGACCTTACTGGCAGATGCTTCAAGTGACCTTGCTTATA